AAGTCGCATTTGTAGGTAATTCAGAATAATAACACAGTGTATAATATCAATAATAAAAATAACAAGCCTACAGTGATTTAAAAGAAGTAACTACATACTGTACTGTACCTCAAGCCACGCCAATGTTTTCATGAGTGTCATGAAGCAGTGCACACCATCATTATTATGAATAATGTATGTAACTCAATGTTATTTATATATATATATATATATATACACACACACACACACACACACACACACCCTGACATATATATCAAGGTGTATGATTGCAGCAAAGCTTGATCTCATTGATCTCAGAAGGTATATTGAATAGTCCTAATAATAGACAGGCCTTTAATAAACTGTAAGCACAGACTCAAGCATAGACGGCAACATGATGATCCTGCAGAAATGAATGATGCCGTTTTTAAAAAAAAAAATAAAAATCCGAGCCAGTGTCTACATATGTGAAAACTGTATGAGATGCATTCAAGCTCCATGTTTCCATATCTGGACTCGCATCTTGGCGCAGGGGTGTGATGCAGCGCTTGGCGTCACGTCTCAATATGTTGTGCTCTATTAGAGATCACACGTGTTGGTTACTCACTTATGAATTTGTTAAGTCACCACAGTGCCTGTTAGTCAACAGTTACTGATTCATTCTGGGAGTCTGTTTATTTTTCCTCCACTTCACAGTTAAAGGTGTTCGATTTCTCTTTCATTCTCTTCGCGTAATATCCGATCAAATGAGCCACTTTGTTTAGATGACATCTACTGCCACGTGACTCTTTGTGGACAAGTACTACAAGTGTAAGTGTCCAACATGGGCCTGTTTTTTTTTTTTTGCAGAAACGGGGCAACGTGAAACTTCTCTGGCTTCATTCACTGAACACACAACACAAAGTACTGTCCACATAACGTTGCGGTTAGATAATGCGCTGGCGGATGAATGATTTCTGTTTATTTTCTTTGCGTAGGAGTGGCACTGTGTATTAGTCAAACCTCTTCTTGTGAAACTGTAAGCAACTTGCATAATTAACCAGATGCATAAACCACTTTTAATAGAGATGTAATTATTTAAACCCTTGTTTTGTGTCGGTCACCAGCATGAAATTTACGTGTATAAAGCACGAGGGAACCAAGACAGCATTGTGTACTGTGTGCGAATACAAAGACAACATTCTCAATAGAGAAGAATCGTGTTGCAGTATTAATGGCCTTTCTAAACTAGACACTTTCTTCTACGATCCATTCACCATTTGTAATTGTTATTTCTCAATAGATGTATATTTTCCCCCTATTTATCTTTTTAAGATTATAAGCAAGCAAGTGTGGAAAATTCTTCCTTTTCAGCTAAGTGCATGTTCGCACGGAATCGCTAATATCGCCTCGTAGATGTTGACTTTGGTGAGACGTTGTTAATGGACAACTTCATTATCCAGCATTACTATGGAAACTGTTCATTCTACCTTTTTCCAAGACTTCCCGTTAAAAGCGGGAGCCTTGAAAGGAAGCAGCTTTTCACCCATTCAGGGCTGATGGCAGCGGGGGATGCGTGGTTAACTCAAATGAGGGTACGAGTTATTGTTTCGCTTCACTTTCGGAAGTGTGCTGCACGCTGGTGCTGAAGCGGAGAGACAACGTGGAATTAGCAGGCTGTAAGAAACCTTTGTCGTCGCTGTACACTCGTTGTTCTTGCCTTCTGTGGAAAGCTTGGCCGGAATTGCGAGCCTCCTCAAGCAGGAAGTCTTACGTTAGCTTAAATCGACCCCTCAAACGGACCACCCAGTAATGTATTAAATAGCCTTCTTTTAAAAGGACTTTAAATAATATTAGCAACTGGTGATATAACTGATATATTACATTTGGATACACGTGTCTCCACATGACAGGGTTTGAGTTACGTTACAGTTGAGTTAAAGTTTGAGTAACTGGAGAGCATACTGGCACACAAAGACTTATGGATTAGTGGCAACAGTGCCTAGTACAAAAATCTGAGACGTGAGCTTTGGTCTGTCACATCAAAAATGGCTCTTGCTCTGAAGAGACACCCGAAATGCTTGGAAAGGGGTGGGTGAATATGGGTGAACCCGATGCCAATGTGCTTTACTGGAAGGGAAAAAAAGCCCACGAAGACTGGAGCACTTAGTGCCTGGGACCATTTTTACAGCTCAGCATCGATGCAAAACTGCCAAAAATGCTTTTACTCATCAAACGGCCGCAGCATGTGACTGTACCCTGCGCGTCCAGGACAATCAAAAGCATATGTCTGTGCTCAGAAGACTGATGTGCTCTGCCATAGTCTGCAGATGCACGACTCCTTTGCTATAGGTGCGGTGTGCTGTTTGCTCAGTGTACTGGAGATGTGATGCCGCGTGGCTGTTATTTCACGCCTGCGTAATTTACCGCATTTCTGCCACTTGTGAACAATATCCTGTTCCCTGATCACACACGAGAGCCCGTGACCATTCCACCGTTTTGGAATGCATGATCCCCAACCTCATGCAGTACTTTTATTAAATATATTAATTTTAACTTGATATTGTGCTTGAAATTGACTGTCTGTTACGTAATGGAGTACTTTTATGGAAATGATTAATAATACGACTGTCTTTTCATAAACCCTCATGCTGATAAACTCATAAATTAAAAATTAAGTATTTATTGTACTTATTACAAACTGTAAGACAGCTAGCTGAAATATCTATTTGTAAATAGTGCATTTAATAATTAGTTGCTGAATGACATGGTGTGGACAGTTTTATTACCAGGCAGCACTGACTTATGCAAAGGAATTGCCCCCAGTCAAGCTTACTGGGTTACTGCATAAGGGAAAATGCGTCATGAGGTTTAACATTTTGACTGGGCTTGACAGCTGAAAGTTAGTACCTCCAGAGTGTTTATATACTGTATTATGGAACATTTGTTTCTTAGAAACAGGAAGAGAAACACTTGTTAGAATTTATTATTATTGTAGAAACTGTTTTTTTTTTCTTAGATGGGCTTTAATTCCATGTAATTACTTGCCATTTTTGTATTATGTGCTATAAACTGCCTAAACCTTTGGATGGAAAGCAGACCAATAGGGATTTCACCTTTTTCTGTATCTCTAAAATGAACTGAAGACCCTAACTGGTGTTCGGTGTGAGCGAATCTTTGCAATCCTTCTACCGTCCTTTCGGAGCTATTTCGGGTGGTATGTCACTCCACGGGTTAAGAGTCCTGTAATTGGAAGGTCGTGGGTTCAAATCCTGTTTCTGCCACAGCGATACCACTGTTGGGCCCTTCGGTAAACTCTTAATCCCAACTGCTCTAGGGGTTCCCTACGCCTGATCCTAAGACTCGCTCTTACGCACACACTGTGTGGGTTTCTCATGGAGAGAGAGATGAGATTTGCAAAACCTATCCAATTTCCCCATGGGGAAAGTGTAAAATTACATATAAAAAAAAAAAACACTTTTTCCGTCATTCAGTTTTGAAGGCCATAAGGTACTATAAAGTTAGTAAAGGAAATCGGCCATAGGTACAAGCCCAGAAAACAGGGATCTACTTTTTCCACACTTTCACTTCCTTGTTGACCGGAATATTCCAAGGATCGTCTTCTCACATCCGTAATGAGCGAAACCTTCCCTTCGTCTTGTTTGAGATACGTTTTATTTAACGTCATATCGTATGCGATGGTTTGGAAAACAGTTCTCATTTAGCGAGTATTCTCTTCCCCTCGATTGCCTGTCTCATCAAGTTAATTATCCTCACTTGATTACTGTGTTTCTTTAGTCCTTTCAATCAGCAAACAAGATAGTTGTGGATTGAGTTTTTCTTTTTTTTGAAAGAAAAAAAAAAACATTAGAAAGTAGCAGCATTAAATTTCCAGACCGTTTCCACCAATATATCGAGTGGTATCATAAATCTCATCATTTGTCAATCAGTAAACTGCAGAAAAGAAATTTTGGCAAACCGGGTGATTTATCTGCCCTTTTCCTGCCTTGTTGCTGTATGCACTAGAATTTCCCCTAGGATCAATAAAGCTTATCTTATCTTAAACCACCAGAACCACACACACCAGAAATATGCTATTCCCAAGTTGCTGACGAAAGGTACCGAAAAATAAATAACTTCGTAATAATATTTTTAATAACATTATTTTTCTTATTGCTTCCAGACAGACCTATGTTTTATATTAATAGTTAAAAGTAGAGTGCGGGGTCCCTGCTGACTTGGCTACTGTTTGCTGTTCTCACTTAGCTTAAGGACTCCATGGTACGGATGATTTTGCCACTTCTTGTTTATTGAGCATTGTCTGTTCAGATTCCTTGCTACATTTGGACTGAACGCTAGTATGCCTCGTTCCAATGCCAAGCATGTCCACATCTGTAGTTGTGTCACCTGTTTGTTCGCGTAATTCTGAGACTGTGTAAGGGCCACAGACGGATAAATGGAAGCGAGTCTCCTCATCTAAAAAATTGGCTGTGCCGTATATAGCTACAAAGTGTAAGTGGCTGGTGCCGATTATATTAAACTGAATGCCGTAGGGAACTGTTGCACGTGACACTTGGCATTTTAGTCTAAACACCAAGCTGCCGTTGGCTCCTCAGAGACACGTCCTTAGATGTGGAATCTTCTAACCATTTATCCTGATCAGGCTTATAGGAGGTGCAGAATGTGCAGATCCTGGACACCACGGGGACACATACATATACACATTACGACTAGTTAGCCTAACTGTAAATCTTTGGACTGCAGGACGAAACTTGCACAATGTGGGTAGAATTGTTCAAGAATTACAAAAAGAAATTCTGGAACGTTATAAGTAAATGATTGGGACCGATGTTGCTATGGTAATAACAATTCAAACTGTCAGTTCCACACCAAGTGAGAATCAACTTGCTGGTGGCTGATGTAAATGAGTTTTTCTCTGACTAATGTTTCATTGACCTTGATGGCAAGAGTTAAATCTGCCTTTGAAGGCACTCTTGCACAGAGATGATTTATGACCATTTGGTCTCCTTCTCCTGTAGGAAATAAATCACAGGATAGCGGGATTGCAGAGATGGAAGAGCTTCCCGTCCCACAGAATATCAAAATAAACAACATCACGTGTGACTCCTTCAAGATATCCTGGGACATGGACTCTAAAGCCAAGGAGCGCATCACGCATTACTTCATCGATCTCAACAAGAAGGAGAACAAGAACTCAAATAAATTCAAACACAAGGTAGGCCTCTTGGGAGGGAATTTCAATATGGCTGCCTTTGCTTAATCAGTGACGTTCATACCAGTTGTTTGACTTGTGTCTGAGTTTTTAATAGCAGCTCAAAATTTTATTCCTATGGCTGGGTATTTACCTATTGCATAACAGCATTATTGTAAATATTTGGTTTAAAAACTACAGAGACTTAAAAAGAGAAAAAAATTACAAAAGATATTGAAAGATTCGGCCTTTTCTCTTAAAAAACATTCTTAATTCAGTGGTCTGCGAGTGCATAATGCTTCTTTCTGCAGATCAAAAATGGGAGTTAGAAACAGAGAAATGCAGATTTAAAATTTTTTTAAATCTGTGCCTTCAAAGGACACAACAGAAAGTAATTTTCATAAGGCTGCTCTTCTCTCCTGACTAAAAGCTACAGAAAAACTCCCTGCCCCATAAAGCATTTTCAACACACAGAGTTAAATCTACATTCTGCACTTTGTACACAATATGAATTTTTTTTTTTTATAGAAATAAGTATCATCCAAGACTCATTTTAATCACCTGATTAATATACGTGAGATGCAACTGGACATCATATTTCTGTATAAAAAGTAAATTACCTGTAGGTGGAATGTAAATAATATAAATTTAGAAGTACTGAAAATTCATGCTTAGTTTATGTATGAATTCTGTTATCTATGGAAACAAGATGGATCCTGCACTGGGAAAAAAACTTTAAATTAGCGAGAGCGTGAAAAATGTTTGAAAAGAAAATTTTCTGTCAAATTCTAATTGGACAAAATGAGTAAGAGAAACCCCCAAATAAGACAGAAGATGCTTCAGTAGCGAATAGAGAAATGCCGTTTATCAAGGTTTATGAAAAACTAACTGTTCTCCAGAAACTTTACTTAAACTGGCATAAGTAAGAGCTCAAAAACACGCTAAGGTAATTAACCTGTCAACTGTCAACTTCCCACTTCATTCATTTTAATGTTTTTTTTCCTTCTGGTTTGAAGAAAGATCCTTGAACCACTCAGCCTTGATTCCCTGCCTAGCTATACAAGCAATTATTTTACTTGTGTAACTCCTGGTTCCGAACGTGTTTTCTCTGTCTGTCTGTGAGCGTGATTTAGAATTAGAAAACAGTAGCGTGTTCTGAGACGACGCGGATTACTTCACGTAGCTTTTCGTCCCCATCTGCGTGCACCCTGCTTTGTGGTATTATACTCTCCTTTGTGGCAGGTGGTGGCTTATTGAAATGATGTTAGCTTAATCAGTGTCCCTCTAATGTGGGACCAGCGCCACAAATTCTTAAGCCTGGATAAAAAAATGAAGGAAGGAGGTTCTAGATTTTTAAAGGTGTCTTTAGCGGCCCCTACAGGTCTGGCAGAATCCTACAACGCGGTAGCGTTTAGCCGGCCCGGCCTTCACCGTCTGTCCCCTCTTCGTAGGACGTCCCGACAAAGCTGGTGGCCAAGGCTGTCCCTCTTCCCATGACCGTCCGGGGGCACTGGTTCCTGAGCCCACGCACCGAGTACACTGTGGCCGTCCAGACGGCTGCCAAGCAGAGTGACGGAGACTACGCCGTTTCGGAGTGGAGTGAGATCATTGAGTTCTGCACTGGCGTGCAGGGTGGGGGCTCCATGCAGGCTGAACATATGCCAGAGGGTTGGTGAGAAAAGACAGGATGTAGCATTTAAATCAGAAGTGCCAAATAAAGCCCGTAGAGTACAGAGTACAGCGGCTTTAGCTCGAACATCCACTGTAAATTACCCGATCGGCTGATATTGTTGCGATTTTTTTTTTGTTTTAAATGACAGACAGCATCCAATAAACCCAGTGATCTTTCATGCACACGCACTGGGGTAGCTACGCAGAGCTGCCGCGCAAGCAGCGTAATTTAGAATCAGAGTAGCTAAGCCAGGGAAATCAGCTAGAACGAAAACAACGTACACACACTGTCCATCCAAGAACAGAGCATAACCACACGTGGTTTTAATCATGTGCTGGCAGAAAGTGTCTCAGGCAGGGCAAACCCAGGTAAAGGTTTAACATTCAAATTCACCTCTCCCAAAAGTAAATGATACCAATGTCTTATACCCATGTCTTAATATGTCATGTTTGACTGTCTTGTGATGTTTATCATCTTTATCTGTAACACTTTACTTGAGGGAGCACAATGTAGTAGACTATACTCCTACTTAATATATTAATTGACCAAAAAACTAAGTGTTAGTTATATACTGATCTCGTGTTTGTTTGTCATTAATCAGTCATAACGGTTCATGTATTTGTCAGTTATATTTGTTTATGATTTGTACTTGAGTAGTGAGTTAATACAGTAATATTTTAATACAGTAATATTTATTAATCTTATCATTTCTTGTATGACCCATGTGTTGTAGAGCTGAAGATGCCAATGAAGACACTTTGGCTTAAACTTTGAAATGAAGTCTGTTCCGGGAAAAGCCTAAAATGTGGTTCTCTCTGCTGGCAGATTACTCCACGGTCCATCTCACGCAGTTGCTAGAGAAGGCCGAGGTGATCGCGGGGAGGATGCTGAAGTTCTCCGTGTTTTATCGCAACCAGCAGAAGGAGTACTTTGACCATGCCAGGTGGGTAGTCTTACAGGAGCGCTGGGGAAGAGTGTGTAGGGCTGTCTTTCAATTTGGGGAAATGTTCCCCTGCTTATTGATGTTCGCTTTTAAACATCGGCCAGGGATCTGATGAAATGTAATTTAGCCCTCAAGGCCAGTTGCGGATATGGGGTTATTTGATTACTCGGTGTGTTATATGAGGGCGGTGCAAACTCGGCCAAGTGATTCTGCTTCATTTTGCTAATCCTCTGTCTGATTACATTAATTAAACAGATACCATGATTACCAGGATCACTGTGACTCTGGTATTACAGAGGACATAAAAAGGAAAAATGTCAGTCTGCACAGCGCTATAAATCACCGCTGATCATCAAAATAGAACGTCCAAACAAAAAAATTGTTTAATTTCTGTATATTATAAAGAAATATGAACCGCATCAAACATTGTTTCGTAACAACAAACTTCTATTTGTTCTTAGTCACTTGGCTTTTTCTGGCACAAATCAGCTGCTTCTTGTGTAGACAGGATGTTTTCAAATCTGCATGAAACTGTCTGGGGGAAAAAAATAGCAACCGGCTTCTCATGACAAGACAGAATAGTCGCACTCCTTATACGTGAATCTGGGAGAGCGAGCCAGGGTTACAGCACTAGGAAGCTAATATCTGCACTCTGCCGAGGAAGACTGATGTAGTTTTCTTCCAATTACCTTCCCAAAACACACACAATTGTCTAGTCTGACTGTTCCCTGTCACAGCCCACAAGGTAAAATGAATGTGGGATAGGAGTCATGCTGGAGGAACACTATGAAATGAACCCGTGTTTTACAGGAGTTGCATGACTGTCTTGAAAGACCAGCTTCACATTTGTCTGAATCTTTTATATCACTGGAATGTTTGGATCTGATCTTTAAACAGCTTTGTCCTTGCAATTCCCAGGAACATTAGGAAGGGAGAGGATAGAAGTGTGATATTTCTGTAATTACCTTTTTATCCTCAGCTGAGTAATTGACAGTGAGAAAGTTAGCTGTAAATACCTGTGTTTCAAATTTTGAATGATGTGAATTTCTGGAAATCCAAAATAGGGCATTGGGAGCACTGAGGCTCAGCAGGTTAGGAGGCCGTGTCTGTGATCATTAGGTCCCTGACTCGAGTCACAGATTGATGTCACCGCTGGGCCCTTGAGCGAGGCCCTTAACATCCAGGGACCGTCTGACCCTGCTTTTAGTTTGTAGGTCACTTTGGATAAAAGTGTCTGCTAATTAAATACAGTGTAACACTCAGTGAAAACACCAAAGATTGTACTTCAAGCGGAAAAGTGTGTAGCGGAGTGCATGTCTACCATCCACCGTGAAACACACTTTGCTTTGTCGCTATAGGCAGGCCCAAAACAACAAGATGCTCCCATCCGTGAAGGACAACAGCGGCAGTCACGGCTCTCCCATAAGCGGCAAGCTGGAGGGCGTCTTCTTCAGCTGCAACACCGAGTTCAACACCGGCAAGCCCCCTCAGGACTCCCCCTATGGGAGGTACCGCTTCGAGGTGCAGGCTGAAGTCCTGTTCAACACAAAGACCAACCTGTACTTCGGGGACTTCTACTGCATGTACACGGCCTACCACTACGTCATCCTGGTGTTGGCCCCCGACGGTTCGCCGGGCGACGAGTTCTGCAAGCAGCGACTTCCCGCACTGGACATCGCCGACAACAGGTTCCTGACCTGCACTGAGGAAGATGGCCAGCTGGTGTTCCACCACGCCCAGGACGTCATCCTGGAGGTCATCTACACCGACCCGGTGGACCTGTCCCTGGGGACTGTCGCCGAGATCAGCGGGCACCAGCTCATGAGCTTGTCCACGGTCAACGCCAAGAAAGATCCCAGCTGCAAGACCTGCAACATCAGCGTGGGCCGCTAAACCCCCCCCCCCCCGCCCAGCCGTCACCCTCGGGAAACATCCTCCAGAGATTGTCTAACCCCTTTAATGTCCAGTCAGCCCCAGACTTCATAAACAGCATGCATTCACAGCTTTCAACCAAACAGCCGTCTATTCATTTGCCCGTTTTATTTAGCTTTTTTTCTTTTCTTTTCATTTAACAAACACCTGTTCTGGGTAAATGTGTTCCTATTTTTCTATCTTTTATGGAGGTATTTGTGAAGTCCCTGCCAAGTCAAACAGTAACTCTGCTTTTTCCTCCCTGGCTATGATACTTATAACAGAAAATACTGCGATATTAGAGCTGCGATGTAATGTTTGCCAAGGGTAATAAAAACTGATCAAACCGCTGTAGTAAAGCAATGGTAACAGCTTCTAAAAGGAATTACACAAATCCGTATTAACATTATCTTGTGATTAAATTATAATTACCGGATAATATATGAGCATGATAGGTTGTACCTGCAGCATGAATTTAACAAACAAAACCTAGAAATGTGACAACCTCCGCCATGTTGTTCTGCAGTGTTAAATGTTATTTATTCTAGAAACCATATACTGTGTTAAAACATAATAAATGTGATATAAAAATATTTATTTTTACTGTTGTATACAAAACAGAGAAACCGGAAGGAGAGAGGAAAGCAGGGGATAGGCCGATGGGGAGGAACAGCAGCAGCAGGCACAATTTGCGGTAAAGAAATAAGCTACCGCTAACATTAATAAACTAGCTAAACGCTAACATTCCTTTTCAGCAGATGTAACCATAAAGCAACACAATCCAGACGGTGGCCGATCTAATATCGCATTTCGTACAGTTGCAGCACAGTAGACTTAAATAGCCTTGTACTGGACGGCATGCAGAAACGACAACATGGCTCACAGTTACAGCTCATCAGCATATTCGACTTAAAAAAAAAAAATTTTAAAAAATAAATAAAAAGACTCACGGCTGTGTACATTTCAAAGAGAAGTTTGCGAGTGCACTTGGCGCAGGGTTTCCCAAAAGGAATCACGTCCAAGGCAAAGTTTTACTGGGAAATTCACGGAATGGTGACCACTTTTCAGTCCACGGTTGAAGGACGGGGGTTACATTATTAGGGTTTAAAACTTTTGTTTTCTGTGTTGGGCTCACTTCTTCATCCCATACGCCTGTATCATGTCATTTGTACATTTCTCTCAAGCTGAAAGTGGCTTCGCACGCCCCGAAGTTCACGTGCATGATATATGTAGGCTTTTTTGGAAACTGTAGCAGAAGGATGTTGTAGAATTGTGATGACTGGAGGCTGTCTCCACTGCAGAAGAGCTTAAAGAGTGGTCTGCATATTGAATTTCAAACACTGTAAGTTTCAGTCTTAGTCACTGGTCCCAGAAACACTGTAAAACCCAAAACCAGACATGAGAAAAACTGCATATTATTCTGACTTTGGTTTAAAAAAATCTCTTCAGTAAATATAAAGTGCCATATTTTAGCATAGAATTGACTTTCCCTAATATCTGTTTCTGTCTCTAAAATCTTTGTTTTTCCAAATAAAATAGCGTTAAACAACAATACTTACAGTAGCTGTGGTAGTGCACTATATGTTGCATCTTTGTCAAATGATGTAATTTTGTCAACCAAGGTGAATGTCATAAAGTGCATCGCAGTTGTCAGTATGACACAAACAGGTCCGATACGAAACGTCTCTTTGTTCAAAGGTGTTGAGCAGTTTGTTCAAAAATAAATCTTAAACGAACAACGTCTTTCTCTCAGATAGTCTTTGAAACGTCCTGTTTACTCAGAAGGACTTCCAGTAATCTGAGTTTAGCTTTCAGGTTCTTGTACTGCTGATACTCTTCGGCCATGGGAATGCGGTCATCCTTCTGAACAGCCCTAGTGGGGAAAAGAATGAATTGTGACAAGCTTGAACAAGGTAGTCTGCATCAGCTTATTAAGGCAGTTTAGTGCATTGCTGGATATCAAATGATCTGAAAATTAATTTAATGCATTTACAGAAATGGGCAAACAAACAACCTGCTATCTCTCAGAAGATGCAGTGAGAGTATTCATTTTTCTGGCCAAGCCATCGCTCTCGTGGGTGGTTATTTACCGTTGACTTTTAAGCTAAGCACAAAATTTCGTTAAAGCAAGATCAGAGGATGCCCTCAAGGAGTCTTACCTCCCCATTTGTCTGAAGAACTGCAGCTCAAACTCTCGGAGTGCCTTGCGACGCCTCTTCTTCTCCACTCGCGTTTCCCGGAGGGACTCCAGGAGCTCTGACCTGGAATGGCGCCCCCCCAGCAAAGAGCACAACATGGGATTTCCATCCACCAACTGCACAAACCAGATTTCCTTGTCAAACAACTTAAAATGGTGACAAAGGGATTTATGGGTCATGTTCATTTTAACGGCTGCATGTCCAGGCATAACTAATTATAATTCTTCATAGAGTCAATTATTATAATCCGCTCTAGCATCTTCATCCGTTTTATGTCATGCTAGGCCGTCTTTTCGCACGTGATGTTAGTAACTGAACAAACATTTTGCGAGTGTCAGCGACCAACCTGAAGCTGCTGCACCAGATGGAACATGAATAAACAGCTGCAATGAAATTTACATTCTTTAGCAGCCATTAAGTTATAGGTGTAAAGCCCTCCGTCTTAACAGCCTTGCTAACTGTTCCTTTTATCTGCATCTAACATTTAGGCTTGGCTGACTGATTGGCAAAATTAATTTCTTTTCTTCGTAGTGCAGCATTTACATTTAGCTTGCTTTCACTTCCAAGTAATTATGTCTTTTAACAAGCTGAAAACAAAATAAAATTAGGATTGGCGTATTGGAACTGGCGTGCCTTTTACCCTATCCTCCCCGAAATCTCAGAAGCCAAAATTCAACAGGGCCATAACCAGAGAAGCAGGTACTGAAAATGGATGGAAGGATTTTTGAAGTTCTAACATTTAGTTTAATAGGAACTTTTACTTGTGTTGTTTAGCACACATTAAAGAAATAATTATATTTCTCACGGTTCATCAACAATACTGATCGCTTCAGTTAGCTTAATTAAGGGATCTGGGCTGTTTTAGGCCCGTCTGTTCGGTGAAGAATCCTCAAGGCGTTTCCTGTTACCTGGAGGCCTCGTGCAGGTTGGACATGATGATGCCAGACTGGTGGACGGCTTTGACCTCATCCAGCGGAGACACGAAGGCTGTGTCGCTGTCTTCTTCCTGTGTCCCTGGCGACTTGTCAGCCGGGGCGGGGCGCTCCGAACTGCAGGGCTGTACGGGGCTCTGTGACACACACTCCTCATCTGAATCCTCCTCTTCCTCCTATACAGAAGCCCAGACCCCCATCACCCACCATGGACTCACCATTCATCCACCATTTTCCAACAATATGCATATCATAGGGGATGACGAAATAAATGCACACGACACGCTAACAATCCCTGTGTGTCTGGCCAGATCCCACTTTATAATTATAATATATGCCAGTTAACCAGTGTCTGAATTTGAAGCTATTTACACAGGGTATATGTTGCATTCTTTTCGCTTAACAAAAATAACTAACTCTAACCCTACATACTGCAGCCACAAGGGTCTCAACACATCGAGTTATCACATTCCTTGTAAGGCCAAGAGAACACGCACCACCTGAAATTAGAGGAGATGCAGAGATACCAGACAGTTAAAGATCTGAAAGGTTACTGACTATGGTGGTGATGGTTGGAGTGGCACACAGCAACTGCTTGATCATCTGGTATCTGTCGTACAGCGGCTTCACAAGGTTCCTCTCCGGCTTTGAGTCCTGAGATCACATGAGGTTGGTTACCATGGCAGCACGCGTGAACAGGAAGCAATTTATCATGGTGTCGTCGCTGGCACGGAATCCAGCACACTGATATTTAACAGAAGAAAGGTCTTACTGGTCGGCCATGGAGACTCTCGAAGTACAGCAAGCATTTCTGCAGAGTAATTTTTTCCAGGGCCATCTGTTTTTGGGTCATTTCCTGGATAAACGAAAAAGCGAGGAGAACAATTTATTCCGCAATTTAGTTGTATTTATTTTTCACATTCGAGGGGGTGATCTTGAGCACCCCCCAGCCAGCCGTTACACGGCGCGTAGGCGCTCCTCTGGCGGCCATTTGTCACGTTGCGGGTGACCTGATGCCACTCGGAGCCGCGCTAACCGAGGTGCCTCTCAGCGCCCGAATCCATCACGCTGGCGTGACTCGCTCGCGGAGCTACAAGCCAGCATATCCCCGGCCACAATGCAGGTACAACGGTGGCAGTTATGGGACAGCTGGTGAGAAATACACGCTTGAGACTTGTTTGAGTTATACGATTCAGCCCTGGGCCCAGCATTTAACTAGTAGCGGCACTACAGAAAACAATGTTATATATCTTTTTATTCCAGCAACCAGTTTTAAAACTATACCAGCTGCAAAACACAAGCCTAATCAGGTAAAGAACACACTGTCGCCCTGACAGGGACATAATCTCCAAAGATGGCTTTACCTTCATATTGTCTGGGAGGCCAAGGGCCTGTCGCTTATCCCTAAGTCTTTTCAGCAGGGCGTCTACCGTCTCCTCCAAGGAGGGCATATGCTGTGACTCTGTCGCCCCCTGCAGGTCACTGTTGTACTTGCATATTTCTGTGTCCTTCTGTTCTCTCAGCTCCTCCACAGATTGTTTCAATTTGAGGTCTATGGAATAAAGGAAATTCAAATCAGTTTTTTTTATTTGGGGGTGGAATTCATATATTTCCAGTCTTAACCAAGACAGATAGTGTTCTGCTCATTTAAATTTTTATTTTCATCATTCTTCAGTAACCTCAGATTCTTTCACCAGCAGCAAATTGTTAATTGAATGCTGTTGTCTCCAACCATAACAATCTACTGCGCTATATGGATTTTATTCATTCTCCTTAAAAAGGGGGAAATGTTACATGGTTTAAAGGAAGACCAGGGTGGTGTTCCTCAAAGCATGTTTTCTCAGTTAGCTGGGTTAACTTAAGCTAGAAGTCATGATCGTCCAATAAGAGTTTAGGTAAGGAGAATTCCTCCTCAGTCATGACTTCTAGCTTAAGTTAACCCAGATAACAGAAATCCAGCTTCATGGAACACTCCCCAGGTCACATATTAGTCTGTTTTTATCCACAGGAAGATGGAGCAAGTTCCTACCTTTAAGCTGCTTGCGAGACTTAGCAAGCTCACTCATGAGCTTGGACATCTCTGGATTTGCCGTTTTATCGTTGTGTGAGGGCTGGGAGAAGGAACAAAGCACATAATCAAAGAAACGGTGACGCAGAATTAAAATAGGCTGCAAAACTAAATCCGACCTGCAGAGGACGACATTTCCCATACTTGTCACTGCTCTCTCCGATGAGAATAATGCAGGACCGTTATCCCTGGACTGATCCTCAGTAAGTGAAAGTTGAATTAGCTTCATCATAATAACTCATATAATAACTGGTTTGTGCTAGACATAACCAGTATAGCTTGCCTTTGAGGTATGAAAGAAAACTATTGTTGAATTTTGGAACTTATTATACTTCCAGATAGGAGAGCATTTCCCAGAAAGGTCTAATATATCCCGTCCAACGATATGCTGCTACAGCTGCTGTGTTTTAAGTGTAGAAAATCAGGCATTTAGAAGCAGAGACGTGATTTTTCATTCTTTTACATTTCATATTGCAATTCCACTCGTTAATATTCAGAACGAAAACGACAGGTATCCAGCAGCTACGCTCCTTGGACACCTAAAAAAGGGAATTCCATCCATCTAGCGCATTCAGTTTCCATAAGGACGTTCAACATCAAATGACTTCCGGTGCATTTTAGAGGATATTGTAGTAAATGAAGAAAGATGTGCATCTCTCTCTGTGCTTCTGAAATAACTAATTTGAATGTTATTTTTCTTTTTACACTGAAGTCAATAACAGACAATCATGATTCGATTGATTTTGAAAATAAGTTTCGTCTTATACAGTTGTATTAAATGGGAGGGCTTTCCTAGACGAATGTGTGGTGCTGTTAAAATTTGAAGAGTACTCCTGTGCGTGGGCAGATGTTCACAATGTTCACAATAGGTAAGCAGTGTGATTTTCAGAACAGATTTGTACCACAACAGTCAAGAGTACCATATGGTAACTAATAGAATTGTTCTGGAGTTCCCCTTCCCCGACGAACATGGACGTTGCACATACCATGTACTTCTTCTCCTGTTCAAACCTTTCTTCGAACTTGCGAATTTTCCTCTTGAGGGTCTGGATGTGTTTCGTGAGAAAGGCGATCGACGGCGTGTCTTTGGCGCCCTCTGGAGGTTCACTTCTGTCAATGCCGCGCGCCCTGAGGCAGGCAGGACTTGCGTTACCACAGAGGGCTAGGTCCATTCACAGAGACAATCGCACGTACACATGCAAAGTAACGATGCTGCAAATACAAAATGTACATTTAATGCAAAAATAAGCAGCACATCATGCAGTTTTATAACCAAAATATCACTATTTAACTATCTGGTAACTATACGACAAATATTTCAGAAGTGCTTGTGTCTCTCGAGGGCTGTTTTATTTATATTATATTCCAGGAAAATTAATCTCTATGAAATGTAAACAGAAAATACAAATGAACCAGGAACCAACAGAGGCTAAAACAAACAGGCCAAGGTGCCAGATGTCAATTGAGGAGATTTACTCAAGGTTTCAGGGAGTGGACGTGTTACCTCATGCCGTCAGGCTATGGGTGTGGTGGACTGGGATGCAGTGGGTGTGCTGGAGATGGTGTTTTTGAAAGGGATAGAAACTCAGTCGACTCCCAAAAACCCACGGTCAGATAACTTATTTTTTCAGTAATGCATACCACTGTGAGCTAATGTGGTGCTCAGGTCTCTGTGACACTCGGGGGTCAGAGACCCAGACTGAGTGCACAGAAGGAGACGGCGACTTGCGCGTCACACGCCGCCCTCTTACATGATGAACTGCTGGGAGCAGGGTGGCGATGGCGCCGCCTCCGGGTCGGTGTTGAAGCGCAGGCTCTGGCTGAAGCTCGGACAGCGCGGCGATGGGAGGGGGCTCCCGTCGTCCATGATGTGGTGCAGGAGGCGGCTGGTCCCCGGGGACGGCTGGCTCTCGCCACCTTCCCCTTCCAGAATCTGGGCTCTGACGGCTGACCTGGGCTCTGTTGTGGGCGACACAGAGTTAAACACCGGAATCCCAGACTCCACTTCCTGCTGAATGACTCCTTTCTAGAACTTTCTAATAAAGCTCCATAACACACACTGTAAGAAAAAAATACTACCAGTTTGTACCTTTGCTTGACACTGAGGCTGTGCCCTCAAGGCTAAATGTACCTTTTAAGGCAGAGAAATGGAGTATAAGGACCCCATTGGGGTACATTAAGGTTGTTTGTACCTTGGGGATGTTGCTCAGAGTCCATTTCTGTACCTTAAAAGGTACATTTACCTACAGCTAAGGATACAATTGACAGACCCTTGAGGGTACATCCCCAGTGACAAGCAAAGATACAAACTGGTACTCTTTTTTTTTTGGACAGTGCAGATACTTAATAAAATATTTCAGCCCTATTTCTATTTTATATTTGAATTTTATAGCTATATTATTAACGATTTTGTATTAGGCTAAATCACACAAAATGTATTTTTATAGAGCTCTTTTACATCTTTAAAACCTTCCCAGTGGAAGATGCTAACTTGCCGGGCCGGTCGCAGACATTTGTTATCAGGAAAGGTCCATTACCCAGTGGCACTTCTGAATCTACCGCTCCTCATTATGAAGCTCATACATTATGTATCTGCCCAGCAGGCTTTTTTTCCTATGGCCTGGATTCCCAAGACCGAGGCCAAGATTTGTCTGTGCATGCGGCTAAATGTCTGCTGGAACGACACCCCTGCACTGGCTCCCTTTCTGAAATCTGGCCTGCGACCGAAAAGTTCAAAGCTTGTGTTTCAAAGTTGCCACCTGGGGCTTTTCAGCAGCGACACGGCAGGCCTCTTCCCCAGTCACCTGACGATTCACTACCTCCAGCACCCTGCACGCCTCGCTCTCTCTCCCTCCACGTCTCTCCTCCAAAAAAACATATTCTCCTCTCCAGCCACTAAATCAACTGCAACTTTTGAATAAGTCATGGGTCTAAAGAAGTACAAGTTAGATAAAAGTAGGACAAAATCAGCCCTAATTGGTGAAAGGAGTAATTGTAATAGTATTATTATTAGCTAGTAATACTATACAGCAATATTGCATCCAGATGGCAACTTCCCTTTAAGAACAGATAAGAGTAAACAAAAGCTGGTCTTTCACCCACTGACCCGCATCCCCTTTTATATACGGCTGATTAAAATACAGAGATACTTTGGACAAAAGCATAACCAGCAGCCAGCACACACCCCATCAGGCAACTCGCAGAGACGCATCACACCCCCTCTGGTGTCTTGTGCGAACGCAGAATAATTGGGACATACCCATGGAAGAGGGGGGGGGGTGTTGAAAATGGGTGGGAGGGGGAACCCACGCACAGCATCAGAACGGGATAAGAGGGGGGGGGGGGGGGGGGGGGGGGGAGAGATCCTCAAGAGAGCTGCGAGCGTGACTCTGCGCGGTTCGTGCAGCGAGCAGCCCCCAGAGCTGCAGAGGTGTGCAGACGGGACACCTGAAACCTGCAGAGTGGCCGCTTTCAGCCGTATCCCCGGGACACCTGCTCCCAGGCGAGGAGCTATTCTTAGAAGCCGAGCTTTCAGCCGGATTCCTGACACCACACATTTATCATGCAGCAAGAAAGATTCGGCAAAAAGAGCCCAACTGCCAGCCCCGGAATCCGTATCGCGGGCACCGGGAATTTTTGGGGACCCCTCTGTGGCGGCGGGGGATCCGTCACGTAGGACACGCACGTTAACTTCACTACACGACCTGACGGAGAGCCCCCTTTGCCCCGTGTGACGCGGCAGCATTTGCCATGCAGGAGCCTCTGGGAGGGGCCCGCTGGCCCGCTGACTTACCGCCAGGGCTGGTCTCCTCGCTGCGGCTGCCCCGCACCAGGGTCCGGCTCTGCTCCTTGGTGCCCGGCGTCGGCGCTGTGTCCTCCGGCGACGGCCTGAGCGAGGAGCCGGCCTCGGCATCCAGCGCCTGCAGCTTCAGGAAGGAACTCTGCCAACAGAAGCAGAACATGCTGCTTCTGGTGGAAGCGGAGCGGCCGCTATCCGACCGGCGGTCTCCGTCACCGAAGGGATGCCGTCGGAGAGAGCAGGCGTGTGGGAGTGATGGGGGGGGGGGTGGGGTCTGTGTTCTCCTGTCTTCCTGGGGAGTCTCTCAGATGCAGCAGCGCACCGCCTCCTCCGCACAGCCCAGTCGGCAGATGCGCTTGTGCCTGCGCTCGCTTGCCGACTGCTGCAGGAGTCCCCGTCCGTGTGGAGTGTGCATGCCTTATCGCCGTATCGCTAGTGGAGGGAGCTGGCGGACGGGTGGGTGGGTGAGTTAGCGAGCTGTCGTCAGCAGCGGTAATTTCCTAAGCTCGGCGTATCTGATATGTGGGCAGGTATGGGTGGGGGGGCAGGAGCAGAGCTGATGCGCGGGGGCGGATGCTCGCGCGCGCGCGTGTGTGTGTGTTTCAGGAAAGTGGGGGGGTGGGCTCGCTGTGCCCTGGGATATAGTATAGCAGCCTCTCCTGCATCTACGGGGCCGATGTTTCATTCAGCACACTGACATCACGATCTGGTGAGGAGGAGGCCCCTCCCAGCCGCTCCCCCCTCCATTCATAAAAGCAGCAGCCTGCAGAGGAGCGGAGTCTCCCCCCACTACGTGCGCACGGGCACATATAGACGCAAAGCACCTCCTGCGTGCTGGGAGGCGCCGATGCTGAGGGGGTGGGTGACGCTTTGGGGGGGGGGGGAATGGAGGAGCAGATTGCCGGAGCATTCTCACCCGCCGTCTTGGTGTCGTCCCCAGCAGAGCTGCCGCAGCCACCACCCCATTTCTCTCCCCCCCCCCCGCCCCCATGCTGGGGGATGCTTGCGGAGGCAGGCTGACACTGCTTATGGTGGGGGTGGGGTGGGGGGGGACAGCACTGGCTATAGTCGTGCTCTACTCACTGTAATGGGTGAGTCACCGATGGCTACCCCCCCGCTTGGCCCTACGCTCCTAGGGGAACAATATCCTTGGGCATGCGCAGAAATTGACACGCTTCAGCTCGTAGCGCACGTAAGATGTGTGTCAATATGTCAGCTGGCCTGCACCCCTGTGCCTCTGCCGTAACCGCAGGAGAACAGAAAATGTGCATGAAAATATGCAGGAATACACTTGCATAATTCAATGTCATTATACACAACGTATCTGTATGCCTAATAAACATGAAAACTTACATTGATAAAATGATACATTTAGAAAGACGAAGAAATGATCCAATGCTTAAAAATACAGAAACTACTGATTAAAATAACACTTTAAGACAACACTTAAAAATAACACCCTTCACACCAGTTTTTGTATAAATTTGGAAGTTCAAGTAGCATATTGAAAGCTTTTGTTGTTTTTATGAATTCATCAACTCAATAAATTGTTTAGGGATTAAGGGAAAATTTCAAAGAGAGGCCTCCATCCTGCCTACAGGAAGAAGGTGAAAGACCTGACTATATGGTGACACAATTACAACATCTCCCTCAACATTAACAAGACAAAGGAGATCATCGTCAACTTCAAAAAGACCAGAGGCCTCCACTCCCCAGTTTTCAGTGATGGATCTCCGTCGAGACCATCAGCAGCTTCGCGTTCCTGGACGTCCAGATCCCCAACTCCCTCTTGTAGTCTCTAAACACCAGGTACATCCTCAGGAATGCTCAGCAGAGTCGGTTCTCCCTGAGAAAAGAACTTTGGGTTGGGAACCAAAACCCTGGTGATCATTTCCTGCTGCACCTTTGGGAGCATCCTGACTGGGTAGCACCTAGTGACGGGCAAATGAAGCTTCATGAACCATTTGCTGTATTTTTTGACCCCACTAGATGGTGCTCTTGGCTTGCTTTGGGGCATGTTTTGAGCCCTTTTTTGAACAGACAGCACCATCTAGTGGAGTAAAAAAATACAGCAAATGGTTCATAATTATCATTTTGCCCATCTCTAGTAGCACCTAAGACTGCTCAAAGGTCTGTCTGGATCACCAGTCTAGATCTTCCATAGCTCCAATCAATCTCCTTCAGCCAGAAGTGCTCATGGGAGTTTTACTTAAACAAGAATGTTCTGAGGCCAGAACGAAAAAATGATCGGTTCAGAGAGATAACCAATCGGATTATAGAGGAGGTGGCCCCAAACAACTAGAGGAGGCAGGACCAAGATATTTCCCATGAGCGCCAAGAACTAAGATTACAAAGAGAGGCCTCCTTCCTGCACGGACCACGTGCATCATCAGGGATTCCAGTCACCCAGCTCATGCCCTCACACTCCTGCTCTCTGGAAAGCGTTACAGGTCCCTGACCCACCAGCACCTCCCAGTTCAGAGTACTTTTTCCATGCTATTAGATTGTTAAACCAGTCACCTGCCTCAGTCCCGCCATTGCTTTATATCGCCATTGCTAATATTCCACATCTGTACTTCATCTTTAGTTTTCGATACTGTGGTCCCATTGCACAAATTGCACTGCTGTTTCCCCAAACCTGCCAGCCACTGAACCTTACAAATTTCATGGTGTTCCTCAGAACACATGTGAGAATAAAACGTGAAACGTTTGTACCTCTGCCTTTTGCTGTTCACTAGTCATTATTATCACTGGAAAACGGAGGGGGGAAAAAGAATAGAAATTATGTGTACAATGCTGACAATCCTAACTGCAACCACAAACTGGAAATTGTGAATGAATAGAGTGTGTACCTTATTCCAGGGAACATAAAACAAGGTACATCCTGGATTAGATGGGCCAGTCCGTCATTGGGCCCACACAACGGACAATGCAGTCGAGCCTGGAGGGAACCCACACAAACAAGAACATGCAAACTGCACACTCATTGAGAGCCAAACCCCCAGCCCCGCCGGTACCTGTGACATCTGAACCATCATGCTCGATCCAGTACTATCCAGACAAACATGGCTATAAAAGTCAACATTCATGGAAAGAACTGCAGTGCAAATTCCTACTAAACTCTGTAATCCAGTAACGCTATCTGTGTAAAAATTTGCGGGCCGAAGCTTGACTAAAATAAATTGAAACTATTTTGGTTATGTCATTTTGATTTGACAATGAAGTTTTGTGTTACATAACTTCAAAATGGCAGAGAAATTAAGTCTGCATGGACTGATGGTTTAGTGATCATTTACACAGACAAACTGGAAAATTGAAATACCAAATAATATACTAGTATCCAGGACTTCATAAAGAGTAAAAGACCTTAAAAGAGTAAAAGATCTTGTCTTAAAAGATTCTTGGAATGCGGACACTCCTGAATTGTGTGTACCGGGACATTGGACCTATACCATTGGACCATTCTTCAAGATGAATCAATTCCAGTGCTTTGAGGTATGAATGAAGGCTGATATCTACTTCGTAAAATGTACTGCAGAACTTCTCATGATGGTTCTGAGATGTTTACATTTGGTGACTGGGGACACCATGGACGGCTTTTGACTCCATTTTGGTTTCCGTGAACCACTAATGAATTTGTTTAGCAGCGTTTATGGAAGGATTTTCTTGGAGTATTGAAACATGATGAGGGAAGAGTGAGTGTGCGATTGTGTGCACCTGGTCTGTGAAAGCGTTTTACACTCCTGGGCTGCCTATACCATTATGGACCTCCTATGTTTTAACAACTGGCTCTCTGCAAATGTAGGAAATGGGTGAACGAAGATGACTCATCAGCCAATACTACAATTATTGTCTCCAGTGTCCAGGTTTTGTGCTCCTTAGAAAAGGTCAAGCAACTTTGGACGCTGTCCTTGGATACAAGTAGTTTGCATGCGGCAGCTTTGTGAAGCTGACAGTACAGTGAGTTTTTGCTGACACTGGGTGACAGAGGAAATGACTCAAGTTGCAGTACTAATGTGAACGGCATTATCACATCAGAAATCAGGGGGTGTGGTTAGGAAGAGTCATCAATGCAGTATTTTCTCCGTACGTGAAAGATGAGCGCTGTCGCACTATATAGATCTGTTTCAGTGCTGGTGATGAGGCAGCCCTCTGCCATTTTTGGCATCTCGGATGATGCACTAAAGGAGCATAACCCTAAATTATTCTACTTTAAGATCTGAATGAGGGTGTTACGCCAAAAGTCCCAGCTGGAACATATGCGATGTCAGAGACACTTCTTACTCTAAAGTGTAAAGCTGTAGTGATTTAACCTTCCTCCTCACACACAAAAGCAGTAACATGAGGAAGGAATCCACATGGGCAAAAGTCTCAATAGGCCATGACCGTGGGAATGGTCTTCCAGAACAGACCCGACCACGCAAAGCAATTAACCATTCGACCAGTTCATACAGTATCAAAGACCATCGATCAGTTCATACAGTATCACTTCATACAGTATCAAAGACCTAAATACCTATTTGATACAGTTCATGCAGCTCTTGAGAGCTTTGTTGGCTACCATTTTAACATCTACCAGTTTGCCCCTGTTAAAGGGGCAGTTCACCCCAAAACTGAGAAAAAGGTATGTTTTGGAGGGTCTTTAGTGCTATCTATCTATCTATCTATCTATCTATCTATCTATCTATCTATCTATCTATCTATCTAGGCTTTGAGCTACCATTTCTTTAAGTAAAAAAACGCTACACATTTAATGGATGAAAAATGTCAGAAGAAACATTTGTGTCAAAGTGAAAATAAAATTAGGCAAGTAAGGGAAAAAAACAATATTGCATGAAGCTTCATGAACCACTTGCTGTATCTTCTGACTCCACTATATGGTGCTCTTTGTTCAAAAAAAAAAAAGGGCTCAAAGCAGGCCCCACAGCAAGCCAAGAGCGCCATCTAGTGGGGTCAAAAAATACAGCAAATGGTTCATGAAGCTTCATTTGGCCGTCACTAGCTGGTGGTGGTAGTTCCTCTTTGGGTAGATGCAGAACCCCAAATGAAGAGGTCAACTATAGTAAAAATTCACAATCAATAGCCTGTGTGTGTGTGTGGGAGGGGGGGGGAGGGGTGCAGTATCAGAGTTATAATGGAAACCGGACCTACTGAACTGAGAAGCGCTGGCAGCACCAAACATCTGGCTAGAGCCAATTGTGCTTTCACCAAAGTCACTGGTGATGTCTCTGCTTACTAGTGACCTGCTAAACCCTCCAGGAGTAAAAGCAAATCTGGAAAAGTCTGCTTTGACTTGAGAGTTCAAGGTAAGGTCAAGGTAACTGCCCGATTACACTTATCCCCAATAACCAAAAATGGAAAGCAAAGACGACATGTAAAAATCAACATACGAAATGGGGGAGACAGAGAAGGATAATGTTCAGCTAGACACCAAGCAACACAAAGACTCAAGACCCAAAGCCCTCATGCAGCAGAGTGCTCATTAATTAGACAACCCAAAGGGCACAACTATTCAGTGAGTCAGGCCACCTCTAAATGGTTTGACCTCTGGTACCTTCAGCTAATCGAAGGCTCTTCGAATGCATTACGGCCATCTACTGATTGTGTAAAGTGGTGCTGTAGGTGCACTTAATTTAAATGCTCGTAATTAAGCAATTTGCTTCCAGAGATATCAGCTGAAAGCTTCACTGGTTTCCTACCATCATTTCCTCCCCAGGTAAGACTGTAGTCTTCAACGCTTTCATAAATGTCTCTTACACTCATTTTATAACGAGTGTAATAGAAATTTATGACACACTAATGTCAAGATATA